GCTGGCCACTGAGGGGAAGATGGTGGGCTGGCCACTGAGGGGAAGATGGTGGGCTAGCCACTGAGGGGAAGATGGTGGGCTGGCCACTAAGGGGAAGACAGTGTGGTAGCCACTGAGGGGAAGACGGTGGGCTGGCCAGCGACGGACAAGCTCATAAAACAAACAAATAACAACAGCAACAACAACAACAAACACTCTTTCTCCTGTAAGGAACACAGCAAGCTGAAAGCCTCCAGAAAGCTGAAAGGCCCCAACTGGGTCACTGGCACTCTTCAGGCAGCTGACAACCGTACCCAACCACAGTTTTCTGGGCAGTCTCCACTCACGACTAATCATGGAAATGACTCTACTGCCTTTTCTGACTGACACCTCCTCTGGTGTCACAGAGAAGGGCAGTCTTCTCTGTGGAGCACCACAGCTGGATAGGCTGCTGCTCAGCTCTGCTGCTCCCTCTACAGGCCTCACGGGTCATGGCACACAGAAAGCACTCCATCTATTCCCGACTCCCTTTTATCTTTCCATCAGGTTCACGTTTCACATCCCCCAAAGACTACTTGAACTCCTAATTCTGCCTCAGTATCTGCCGTTCTGACAGCCTGATTTGATCAAAGATCAGTAAATCATAGCCTTGACTATGAATGACATGAAATTCTCCTTTAGCGTAACCATAAAAAAAAATCACAACTTTCCTAGATGGAGCAAGCCCATATCGAAATTCAGGTTCCTTTATCACACGGCCAGAGTGGCTCCCACACCCTGAGTCCTCCAGCTCTATTCTGCTAAGGTTTCATTTCCAGTCTCCTTGGCCACCGGAGGTCCTCACACTTTGGCTACTCTGATTTTCCAGTTTGGTGGGTAAAACTACAGGTGACTAAGGAGCATCTATGATGATCATCCTGCAGCAATGTCTCCCTCACAGATACAGCCCCCTCCCCTCTTCACTCCTACCAAAATCTGAAGCCACACACACACTTTCCGGTACATCCCTCCATGACGTGACAGACCCCTTAAACCACAAGGCAATTTGTTAGGGTTCACTTATGTTCATGTAGATTTGCTGTTTAACAACAAAGAAAAAACATTTCTCCTTTCTTTGTATTGAAAAGTTAGATAGTCCAAGAGGAGGAGGCAGGACAAACTGGACTTTATGTACTACTTTATATATAGCCTGCTGCTTGACTTGGATGGGCAGCACACAGATAAAATGAACCAAATTACCTGCAATAGATCAGGGGTTAAAATAAGTTATTGGGGATCATAAGCTTAAAAAAAAAGCTTATTTACTGGGTTCTTGCTAAGTGAGAAGGGTTAGCGCTTGCACTAGTCAAATCAAACTTCCCTAAAAGGAAGTTATTTTAAGGCCATTGTGGAGAATTAGAAAATGGGATGAG